CATGTCCTTGGCAGCGTCCTCGTTGATTCCTGTTGTGACAGAGTAGAAAACGACAGGACTCTGGCCTGAACCCTCAAGAAAAAAGAAAAGAAAAACACACAAAACTAAAAACACTGCATCAGAAGTGAGAGGAGGTAAGCAGAAAAAAGCCTCGCACTCCAGCCATCTCCTGACCACTCTTCTTCTTCTTCTTCTACCGTGGCGGTCAAGGTTGAGAGTAACCGAAGTGTGTGTGTGTGTGGGTGTGTGTTTGTGTGTGTGCGTGTTTGAGATCATTGTCGCGCAATCACCCTACAGCGTTTTCCGTTCAAAGGAAAGGCCGGCCCGCGGTGGGACGAATGGGTAAAGAGAGCCGAGGGATCCGCCCCGAGAGATCGCAAGAGATCTTCAGAGATTTGGTTCGACGAGCCGCTGACGGAGGAGCAGGGCAGATTCTAGGAGATCCAGGCGAAGTCCCTCTCGCTCCCGTTCTGCTGCTCCCCCTCCTGCGCCGAGGAGTCGCTCTCCTCCTTCTCATTGTCCTGCGCCGAGGCGGCCATCCCCGAGTCCTTCCACTTCCCCCCTTCCTCCTCCCCTTCTCCCATCATCTCGCCGTCCGCCTCCACCATCATCTCCTCCTCGCCGTCGCCGTCGCACTCCGCCTGGTCGTCGTGGAAGCGGTCGCCCGGGTACAGCTCCTCCTCCGGGGAGATGTCCCCGCCCACCTCCCCGTTGTGGTCCAGCAGCGCCGCCATGCCGCGGCCGGAGCAGTCGGCACAGACGCCGTGACGCCGCGAGCCGTGTTTGATTCCGACGCTGGCCGCCGACATGAAGACCCGGCTGCACACTTTACACACGTACTTCTTGTCTTTGCTGTGGACCTGTTGGACAGAAACACATCGTTTACATTTTTTTTACACTTCATGGGATTTACTGCCCCCTACTGGTGATCGCACATCTGTTCAGTTTCCTGTATCAGTGTCACATGGGTTTCACCTTTGCTCCGCCCCTTTAAGAAACTAGTGGCAGAGTCTATTGACTCCAATGAGAGAAGTGAACGTGAACCATAGACTGTATATAAGAAGTGGTGATGTCACCCATTGGTTTGTGGCCTGCCAGTTTCGAAGACTTGAATTCTGTATTTTGACTGTCGCCATCTTGGATTTTGGCCTTCTGCCATCTCTTTTTTGCAAAGAGAGTGAAAGTTATAGTACTTTGACAGGAGAAGCCCATGTTTTTTAATGAATTTGTTTGCATTTTAAAATAATTGTATCACTGGAATGCACTAAATGGATTTAGTTTTGACAGATAATATCCCTGTATGCACTTAAAACAAGAAAAAAAGCAACCCAATTAGTTTTTAGCATTTTAAAAGACTTATCTTATTTTCTTCTTTGTACATTTACTATTGCTCTTTAATAATAAAGCAAAAGTACTTCTTATCCAATAACTCGATTGATCAATAGAATAATCGGTAGAGTACTTTATTCGAGACCTTTCTCTGCAACACAAACTTTTGCGATACACAAACTAACGTTGACGAACGGCGTAACAAATTCGGTGAATGTGGCCTTTAGCTGCGTAAATATCTAATGTTAGCAAAACGAAATAGAAATACATGATGTAAAAATAACCCAATCTGCTTTCGTCTATCCACACGACGTTCCACAACATTGCCAAACAAGGTGGGGGAGGGGATGACCACGCCCACTTTGGAGACAGGAAGTGTGTATACAATTCAAAACCATTGTTGTAGAGCACCTTTGGCTGCACTCACCAGTGTGTGCCGCTTCATGTGCTCCCTCCTGGTGAACTTCTTGCCACAGATTTCACAGGGGTAGGGCCTCTCGCCGGTGTGGGAGCGCATGTGCCTCTTTAGGATACACTGGTGCATAGCGGAGAAGCTGCAGTAGGGGCACTTGAACTTTTTACGGATCACTGTGAAGTCGTTCACTGTAGGGACAGAAGGAAGAAAAAAAAAGTGTGTTGAATGAAGCTCTTTTAAATAAACCGAGACGTCACTTTTCAGTTATTACATTTAATTAGCGGCGTGGTCTAGAAAATGTACCATCAATTCCCATGGCCACCCCGATCCCCAGTCAAAGCTACAGTTGCCCTGGCAACAGCTCTTCCTCCATACTAAAGCAATAAAGGCAAAGAGACACTATAAACACAACACACAACAGTCAGTCTGCCCTGCTCTAGAGGGTCTCTGCTGTGGAAAGCAAAACACAGACAGAGAGACAAACACAGACAATGACAAGAAGGCTGAGGGAAATAAAATCACACAGAAACACACACAAAGGGAGGCTTCAGCAAAGACATTAAAAATGAAAACTAATGTTAATATCACGTCCCAATCTTGGGTAGAATGTCTCGTAAGCCAATTATCTCTAGACTTAAATGGTAGTTAAGCCAGTACATCCAGTACAAGTACATCCAAGTAAACTGTGTGTGTGTGTGTGTGTGCATCCATCTTTGTGAGGACATCTATTGATGCAATCCCTCACCCCTAACCCTCACCTAACCTTAAAACCAAGTCTTCACTCTCAAACAGACCGTTGAAGATGTGAGGACCAGCCAAAATGTCCTCCCTCTGTTGGACATAACATTGACTTCCATTCATTTCCTGGAGATTTACACTACCCACTAGCTGCTTCTCGCCAAATCTTAACTCTTTACCCTAACCTTGACCATCATATCTAAATCCTCAACACTAACCTAAACCTGATTCTAACCTGAACCTTAAAACCAGGTCTGAACCCTCAAACAGGCCTTTGAAGAAGTGAGGCCCAGCCAAAATGTCCTCACTTTCCAAAATGTCCTCACTCTGTTGTCAAAAATGTGTTTTAGGTCCTCACTATGTAGCAAATACAAGACTATACGCACGGTCACATTTCCATCACATTGACTTCCATTAATTTCCTGGTGGCTAACCTTAACCTAAACTTTAAGCTCATATTAACTTTAAACCAAATCTTTACCCTAAAATGTAATGCTTTACGTTACGGGGACGTGCAGTTTGTCCCCAAAAGAAAGACAAGTCCCCACAATGTCAGTAATACACGCTCAGTAATCTGTGTGTGTGGGTGTGTGTGTGTGTGTGAAACTTTACAGTGTATGACTGTGAGAGATCCGGGCTGGATTTACGAGTACACAAGCCCAACACGACGGCTGCAGATAGAGGAGGGGGTCAAACACACGGCTCGGGGTTATAAGCTTTGAAGTGATACAACATAATTACCTCCATCTGCAAATCGACCTCTGCTCTGATTAAACACTCGACAGCACAAAAAAACATGCAAACACACATCAACTGCACATTTAAGAGTCACATTTTTTTTTTTTTAGAGAGCGGCAAGTTAAAATGCAAAGGAAGGAAATAATGTGAATGATGTGCAAGACGCAGATACAAGATTAAAAAAAAAAACTACGGAGAAGTTTTTCCATCACAGTTTAATTACAGCATAAAAACTACAAGCAAGTATAGAAAAGTACATATCTGTATACAGTACATGGGTTTTTGTTTTTTTACGAGGATAAAATAAAATAATCTAGACTTAAATAAACACAAATTCCAACAAAACAAAACAAAAGAAGAAACGCCACATAACAGCCGTACTGTATTTACAGCCCTGTCTTCTGCGGACGTCTCTGAACCTGTTTCAGCTGCATGGCTTGCACAGAGTGGATTACCTGAGAGATGGGATTTTGGCATTTGGGAGTTCCCCTTCGTGTACGCATATACAGAAGGAGTACATTCCCAATAGACACCCGGTTCTGCTTTTACACGAGCACATAGAAATTACAGATCTTTGTGTCGTAGCGACCGTGGAATGTTAAAGGGATTCTTCCCTTATGGGTATAATACTCACAGTATGGGTGTATGCACGGTAAACCTGTTTAACTGGGCTGTATCAGGAATATATATTGGTTTATAGTTGCAGGTCTGCTGTAAACTCCACATTTTGGCAGAACTTGGTGTGAATTTTTACATTTAGCGACGATTTTGACGCCAGCGTTCCCGCTGACTGCAATATCCTGCAGCTCTGCAAAAAACACCTCCACCTAACTGTCTTCACCATCTCCCTCATTCCTCTCCTATGGGTTGTTTTTTCCCCCCACACTTGTCTCACAACCACACCATTATCTCTCTGCGGCGGTGACGTCGCAAAGCTCATCTGGTTTAAGGGGCATCTGCCCCCTCGGTCCCCACCTCCTCTTCAGATGAAGAGGTCAGGGGGTTAAGAAGGGCCGGAGCCGTGAAGGACCAATTACTGTCCAGCTCCAGCCACTTGAAGGCTCGCAGATCTGTGACGGAGGAGATGGACAGAGAGAGAGAAAAATGACACCACCCAACCCCCAATCTGAGCTGCCTCTGGTCTGTTGTTTTAGATGGCTTTGTCTCGGTCGGCACATCCCCTCCATCTGCACTGATCTGACAGCACTGGCTGAGGGTGATAGTCAGTTACTTTGTTTTGCTTTGAGATTCAGTATAAAGAAATACTTTAAATATATATAATACATATAATGTAATTTATTTTATTTCCAAATGGATATATTTGTTCATTTATTTTATTTATAGTTATAATTTTATATATAATATATATAATTTATTCTTTGAGTTTCAATTTAGACAGTTATTTAAACAGTACTAATAAATTATACATATTATTTGCTATTATTTTTATTTTTTAATTTACAATATACTTTTATAATTTCGTATATTATGTATAATTCATTTAATTTATTCTTTGAGTTTCAGTTGAAAGACAAGTAACCACAGTTATTGCAACAAAAATAATGTTATATATGTATTATTTTTTAGTATTATTAAATAATTTTTTAAATGTATTTATTCATTCAATTACTTTTAATTTATTTATGATTGTGAATATTATTTTATTCTTTAAACTGTAACGTAAAACAAAGTAACTCTGAAATCAGATATATAAATATATATATGTAAGAAAATGTATATATATATATATATATATATATATATATATATATTTGTATATATTTCATTGTGTTGTGCTATTTATTTTTAATTTCTGTTGAGGTGAACTACCACTGTTGACAGAAATAATCTGATTCGGGTGATTTTTATTCTGCTCTCTTGCTGCAGTTCTACAAAGGGCCTGCAGGTGGTGTGGTTGTGTGGGCTGTGAGTCTCAGTGGAACCTGAGTGTCTTTGTGCCCTTAATGCAGGGGTGGTCACAAAGATAAAGATCTCTCTGCCTAAAAAGGAGAGAAGAGTTTAGTCAGACTGGTGGCTGGCGACAGAGAGCTAGACAAGTGGTTTGGGTTGGCGAGGCGGACAGATACACCCCCCACTCCCCACCCCCACCGTCTCCACTCGGCACCGCAACGGAAAGTTATTCACCTGTTTTTATGGGTAACTTACATATAACTTCTTTTTAAAAAACTTTTTTTCAAAAGATCAGCTTTGCATAGCAGTTGTGCATTGTTGACATTTAAGCTGTCAAAAAATATATATATTTAACAAGTTGTAAAAAAAAAAGAAAAGAGGAGTCCCTAAGTATTTTTTGATCACGTCGACAGATATTTTATATAATTTTAAGGGAATTCTTCCCTTCTCAGTGCAATGACGCCGCGGATCTTCTGTTATTTTTTGGCATGAACGTACAGCACGTGATGCTACGCTGCTAACTGATATGGGTTTTGTGTACATAGGCCTGTCTCAATTTTCCACATTGATGCCGAGATCATGATCGTCAACCTTCATCTCCTGAGATAGCCGCCACAGCGAATCGATAACCCCGCCCTGAGACATCTCCATCCCAGCGCCGCCTCCCAGCAGAGCTACTGGCAGCGGCCCCAGCTGGCAGCACACTTTGACGTGCGTCGCCAGGTTCTTTTGGGTGCTAAAAGCCTTGCCGCAGGCGGGGCAGGTGTACCCTCGCTCCCTGGAGTGCACGGAGGACAGGTGCCTGTGCAGGTCCGTGCGGTCCCTGAAGTGCTTCAGACAGTACGCGCACTGCATCAGCTTTTTCTTGTAGTGGATGGTCTTCTCGTGGCGGTCGGCGTTGGACTTGAGGGTGAAGCTGGCGGGGCACTGGGAGCAGAGGTAGCGCGCCGGCGGCAGCTCCGGCTCGGCCGCCGTGGGGCGGTAGAGGGACTGGTGGTAGTGGAGGGATTGCGGCTGGTGACGGGGCCGCTCGGGTTGACCGTGGGGGCCCTGGGCGCTCGGCCAGTCCAGCGACAGGGCCATCAGAGACAGGGTGTGGCGGTACTCGTGCTCCCTGAGGTGCTCCAGGCTGCTGAACAGCCGCTTGCACAGGGAGCAGGCGAACCCACGCGAGGGCCAGACGCCGGGCTCTGGCAGGACTCTGGTCCCCGACCCGGCCTCTTCGCCCCGCGCCACCAACCCTTCGGCCCCTCTGCCAACCACGAGCACTGACGCAGGCACCGTCGAGCCGCCACTAAAGCTCCCGTTGCCCATCTGATCCGTCTCGACGGGAGACTGATCGACTCCCAAAGCTGAGACAGAGACAAGAAAAGTGAGTGAAATAGATGGAAAAAGCCACAAACTAAAGATCTTATTTGAAGACATCCAGACGCTTCAGTTGTAAAGCCGTACCTGTGCGGTATTCTTTCACGTCTTCTTTGCTTTTCACACCCTGCAAGCACAAAACATCCCGTTATGACAACACACGCACATCTATACGGTGTGTATGGATTGTTGTCTGGGCATGCAGGAGGCAGGCAGGTAAGACAAGCTGTGAAGACAACCCCCCCCCCCCCCCACACACACACACACACACACACATGAGACATGAAAACAGAAAAGTTAAAGGAAACAAAAAAAAAAACACGCAGACAGATCAGAATGATTTAAAGGCAAATTGTTAGAAATTAGCAAGCAGACACAGAAAAAAGATGCTGACAGTTTCCTGGATGCTCGAGCCGTCCTACGAGACGCTTAGGTTGATCTACGGTGTTAATAATATTATCTGCCTGATGCAGCAAGGTGCAGCTCTCTTTTCTCTCATCTACATCCCATCTCAACTACTCCATCTACTCCACGCTCCTTCACCACCCCCCATCCATCTCCTCCTCCTCCTCCTCCTCCTCCTCATCCTCTCTAAGAGAACAGAACACCATGCACTGGGCAAACAGATGGCTTGTCCGCAGAGATAGGGAGGCTTGTTGGGAGGCAGGTCCTCTGAAATCAAATGCTGCTCCTAAAACGCTCACACACACACGCACACACGCACGCACGCACACACACACACATACATACACACACACACACACACACACACTCTCGACTGGCACAAAACTCACATCCACACATGCTCATACTGCCATGCTCACACACACACGCCCCCACAAACACACACAAACACACACAGAACAAACAATTTCCTGGGCTGCGAGAGCAAACCTCTCATTGTCTACTTGTATTGATTCTACTCTGCTCTCATCTCACTACCTTGACGTCGTTTATCTGCCATCTCGGAGACGCACGCTGCCATTGTGACCAGATGTGTTGTCCCCCTAATGCGACCGCTGCCACAAACTACGTTAGCGCTAATGCTGAGCAAAAAGACTCTTTGGGCTTTTTTTGAAGGTGAATTCGGGTCTGGCTATATTAAAAACAAAAAAAGAGAAGATGATATGAAAGAAAGAAAAAAAGGGTGACGGATTGGAAATCTGAAAGGAAGAGAAAAAGCAAACAAAGCATGTAAAGAAAGACGAACAATAAGGAAAACAGAGCAGGAAATGTGCCAGATTCCACACAGAGAGGAGGGGGGGTGGGGGGGTGGGGTTTGAGCGACGACGTGTAAAAAAAGACCCACGTCACCGGTCACTTTTTACTCTCCGTAGCCTCAAACCCCCCCCCCCCCCCCCCCCCC